TAGTAGAGACTGGGGTTGCACTCTTGCTCAGGCTGGTCTCAAACTCCTGAGCTCAAAGGATCCTCCCACCTCGAGCTTCCCAGAGTGCTAGGATTATAGGAGTGAGCCAGCTACCTGGCCTCATAGGAGAAATTTTAAATGAATGGATAAGAATAGTGGTTTAAATACATCAATGAGGAACTTGACAAATTCTCACCTCAACCATGTCTTTCGGGTATATGGGCCACGGTAGAATCATCCAAAGAAGTGAGATCTATAGGACTGTGAGACCGGGGGACAGCCAGGTCTCAATTGAGAGGAGGTAGGAAATTCTTCAGTGAAGAGTGAAGTTGAACATAGTTTATTTACAAAGAAAGCAAGATTTAAAGGGTACAATGGAGAAAGAGGAAAGTTTTGAATGGAGAGAAATAACAAAGAACATAAGCACTCATGGAATGTTTGCTGAATTTCTTGAGGGCAGGTGCCAATGATGGCCATCTTTTTCATCCTTAGAACTTATCTGGTATGGCTAGATTGTGCAAATGTTTGTTATAATAAAACAAGCATGTTTATTAAATGTTTAATGTATTAAAATAACTTTTAATTATTTTTCAGTGTGTTAAAAGATTCTTTTCTCTTTTGATAAGAGGAAATGAAAAAGAAGGATGATAGGTTTGGGCACTTAAAAGGACATAACTCAACTCTATAAATACTTAAAAGTGTCTATTGGGTTAGCCGCAGTTGAGTGTAATACCTATATTAGTGCATTCTTTTCCCCTAGTCAATTAGATTTATGGACTAGGTTCCCATTGAGGCTGATTCTTTGCCTTCCTTAAGCAGTTGGGGGAGACATCCATTACGTTCTATAGAACAAGTTCTTCTAATGGATATAGCCTGCCCAATATTCTTCCTATAAGTCCATTAGAATAGAAGTTTGTTAGCAAAAACTATATGTAAAAAAATAAGTCAGTCAGTCATTGGGCTCTAGAAGCTGAAATTTCCATGCTGAAAAATCCCCTACTTTTGGCTATTTCAGTCATGGTGGCCACATAGTGAAATCATCCCTACGTTCAGTTTCCCCTCTGATGCAGTTGCTGCTGTTACTGCATCCCTGGCCTGCCCTGTCCAGTCCCAGACCTTCTAGGTCTCACAGGAAACTCTCCTATGTCTAAGGGGTTCTTGGTTTTCTAAAGTCTGTCACCCATACCTTGTGGTCTTTTTTTTTTTTTTTTTTTTTTTTTTTTATGAGACAGAGTCTCAAGCTGTTGCCCTGGGTAGAGTGCAGTGGCATCACAGCTCACAGCAACCTTAAACTCTTGGGCTTAAGTGCTTAAGTGATTCTCTTGCCTCAGCCTCCCAAGTAGCTGGGACTACAGGCGCCCACCACAATGCCCAGCTATTTTTTTGTTGCACTTGTCATTGTTGTTTAGCTGGCCCCCGGCTGGTTTTGAACCTGCCAGCCTCGGTGTATGTGTCTGGCACCGTAACCACTGTGCTGTGGGCCCTGAGCCCATACCTCGTGGTCTTGATGAAAGGGAAAATGAAATTCCTGTCTTTGCTTGATGCCATTTGCCATCTGATGTGTGGCACTGTGTTACTTTTCATCTGATGGACTTGTTTTGTTACTGGGAGGAGAGATTTTTCTGTCAACTCCCAGACTCTTTCCCCAGCCAGTCTGTAGACCTCCATCTCCATGTTCTTTCTGCAGCATCATACCTCCAGTACTACCTATTCCTTTTGCGAACTCGCTAATCACAGCATAGCTTAAATTACATTTATGAGAACAAAGATTGCTAAAGTTTGTCTTTGTTTCAAGGACCTCACAATCTATTGTGTGACATAAACACATGTTATAATTGAGGAGTAAACAGACTGCTGAGGGAGGCCCAGGAGGAGGGGAAGCTCAGAAACGGGGGAGTAAAAGTTTAGTTTTTATTTCAAACTCTGTGCATCTTTCTTGGAGAAGTTGTAGTTCATTTTCTGCAAGGAAGGACAGAGATAGATAGTCTAGTTGGAACTCTGGTCACAGTTATTTAAAGTTGTCCTTTTAAATGAAAAGTGGCTTCATCTGTTTTGCAAAAATAGGGGATTTTCAACTAATTTGCCCAGGTACCAGCATGTATTGTGACTCCTTCACAAATCTGTTACCAAATTTTGACAAATTTGTAAGACTAAAGTTTACTCTGAGATTGCTATACTGTAGCCATGGATCTCAGACAGAACTTTAAGTTGAGCAGGTTCTGGAATTCCATGTTCAAGTAGGGAACAATGTGGCAAGGAAGAGGTAAAAAGCACAGAGGCTTATCAAACCGGGACCAAGAATGATGGAGTGTTTACTGGAACACGGGCACGCTTTCCCTGGGCAAAGCAGAGTGTGATTCTAGTCTATCATCAGATGTTTTGGGCTCAGCCAAGGGAATGAAGAAATAACTGGATGTGCTTTCATAGATGTCATGAAACACTGTTATACTGTGATTAAAGATTGCGGACTTACAGTACAGTGGCAACATCACAGCTCACAGCAACCTCAAACTCTTGTACTCAAGTGATTCTCCTGCCTCAGCCTCCTGAGTAGCTGGGACTACAAGTACGCATGGTGCGTACCACCATGTCCAGCTAAGTTTTTCATTTTCGGTAGAGATGGGGTCTTGCTCTTGCTCAGACTGGTGTTGAATTCCTAAGCATAAGCATCCTTCTGCCACAGCCCACTTTCCAGAGTGCTACAATGATAGGCATGAGCCACCGTGCTGGCCAAGAATGTGGACTTTTTAGTGTTGTTTTAGTCTTTTAATTTGTCAAACGTGTCACTAAAAATTACAATACTCAAGCACACACACAGTAATAGTACAATTGTTGAGAACCACTGTAATAGTGTGGTTAAAATGGAAGACATCTCCTTATTCCTTTTTCTGATCAGGTGGCCTACTAAGGCTTTAAAATCACCCATCTCAAATGAATATCATCTGTTTTCTCTTATCTAAGCCACAGAACAGAAGAGCTCATTAAAAATCTAAGAAATTTTATCAACTCTTTATGACCATTTTTCTTCCCCTGTTCTTTTCTTTATATTCATTTCACTAGCTTGATGGGGTTTTAATATTGTCATGAAAAATCTCCCCTTGGGCAGATTTGTATAATAGATAATGCAGCCTTAAGAGCTTTATTCAAATGAACTCATTCTGATAAAGTGGGCAGACACCAAACCAACTCAGTTCAGAAGCAAATACATTTCAGAGTTCTCTTCCACTACTATTTGTTCTCTTATTTGTAGTAGAAGAAACAACCACTAGACGGAGCTAGGGTTTAAGAAATCCCAACTCTGAGCTGTGCGACCGATGCGATGGGTAGAATAACATCTCAAGGAAGAAGTATATCATTACTTTCATTTCAGAGCTTGTGACAACCTTATCTAACTCTCTGCTAACAGCAGTTATCTGTATACTTTGTATCTGCACAAGACAAGAAAAGGGTGATATTTTTAATGGCCCGATTTCTTTAGTCACTCCAATGATGATGTCTGACCTTGGTCTAGCCCTTTACGATTGAGAGGGCTGTCCTCCACGTAATCGTGTTTGATCTTCACACAAACGCTGAGAGGTTGCTGGTCAAGAATTAGTTTTTCTGTTTTTGAAATTAATCAACTTAGACAGGGTATCTTTGCAATACATCAGGATGTGCTGGGATGATTACCCAGACAGTTAAGTTCCAGGGACAGTTCTTCTATTCTGACATTTTTGTGTTGATAGTCTGAAACTAACTAGTGAACTATCAACTTATTCCTTCATGTGGGGCTTAGGTTTAGTGTCCTGTCACATTTATTGGGGATATATGGTAAAAATACAGGCACAGAGTATGGAGTCCTCTTGTGCGTACATGATTCTTCCTTATACCAGGGACAAGTGTAAAGTCTAGCTCCTTATCTTCTGCACTGCCCACTGCCCACAAAGTGGAGGCTACAGTTCCTTAATTAATGCTGTTTCCCTACCCCCACCCCAAGCATTTGCCCTTATAGACAAGCCCACCTTTTTGTTATTTTTCAGGCTGTTCCTGTTTCCAGATCTTACATACTGATCATAAGAGATCTGTGCTTCAGCTAAAGAAAAGTTATGCATATATGTGTACAGAGGGTGCAAAAAATGCATACACATTTTAAGAAAGGAATAAAACTATACTAAAATTGTAATACTCAAGTCACTTCGGATTTCTGCAATGCCAAGAGGTGCTTAGTGCAGTAACGTAGTCTTTTGTTATCAGTATATGTTGAGTATTACAATTTTAATCTAGTTTTTCTCTTTCTTAAAATGTGTATACTCTTTTTGGCACCCTCTGCATATTTTCTTGACCCTGTGGGTAAAATATGCACCAGATAAAAGTGGAAATTAGGTCAGTCAGTCAGGATACTTATCAAACGTCAGGAGCCTCCATATGTGCTTGTGATAAAAACAAGCCAAGTCACCTCTTCTGAAGCTAAATCTGTCAGTTACTCTGCAAGGCTGCTCTTTTACAATACAACTTCATTAATTACTGGTAAAACTCTGGCTTCAGAATCAAGGTCGGGCAACTTTGATCCAGCTTACAAACCCTACGGAAAACCAAGAAGGTGTTTACAGACTCTCACAGGTCCCGGAGGCCTCAGCCTGAAACAGAGCAAAGGAAGGGAGTTACATCATCATGCTCCCCCAAGACTCGCGGTGACCTTGTTGGGGATGAATCCGGCAAGAACGTGGCTCACAAAGCCCTCTCTCCACCCAGCCCAAGGCGCACCCTGAACACTTTTCCCGCCTGTTCCCAGAGGGTGGCGCTGCCACCCCAGCCTTGGCCCACGGCCGCCGGTCGCTTCCCGGCTGCCGCGGGTGCCCGCAGCTGGGTCTCCCGCAGGCCGACGGGGGGTTCGCGCCCGGTAGGGGGCGCCGCCGGCCCAGGCGCGGCTGCTCCCTCCGCCCACCCGGAGGCGGCTGCAGCGAGCCGAGCCGGGTGCGAGTGCACTGCGAGGCGGGCCGCAGGGAGGGAGGCGCGAAGAGGGCGCGAGGGTGGCAGCCAGAGGGAGCCGCCGCCCGTGGCCGCTCGGGTCCCCGTGGGGCGCATGGGGCGCTGCGAGCCGGGATCGCGTGCGGGCTCCGCGCCCAGCTTTCCGCTGCTGTGAGAAGCCGCGCCGGGACGCCCCCCAGACCCGGAGCTGCCGGGAGGATGACCATGGCCGGGGGCAGGAGGGGACTGGTGGCTCCGCAAAACACGTTTCTGGAGAATATTGTCCGGCGGTCCAATGGTAAGAGGTGCCTTCGGATTTCGGTTAGTCGGGCTTTTCACCCGTGCCTTTATTGCAGACGCCTCCCGCCGCCCCGCGCCAGCAGATGCAGCAGAACCCGCGGGCTGTGCTGAGGAGTCTCTGTGCGGGCGCCCCGGGCTGCCTGCGGGAGGCAGGGAAAGGTGGGCAGGGTGGGGCGGGGTCTGGCGGACTCCCATCCCAAGAGCAGAGCTCTCCTGGGGATGCTTTCTGGGCCTTTCTCACGCCGTCTCGGTCTCATCTCCAAGAGAGCGTGACAGCCGCTGAGCGAAGTACTGGGAAAAGTGATGGAAGCTGGCCGCAGCAGGAGCGGCGGTGCGCTCTCAGCTACTGCCCACCCCCCGGCCGAGGCTCTCGGGGGCTCTCGGGCTGCTCCTCGACGTGCCACCTCCCCCTAGGGAGAGCCAGCGAGAGAGAGGGGCAACTCCAGGTCCTGGCTTCCTCGTAATGATGAGATGCAGCTGTGTCCACTTTCCATCCCAGTAGCCAGAAAGTCTGAGGTGTAGGACTGGGACATAGGGACGAGTCAGCTTCTACCCCTTCAGCCACTCACGCCCTTTGTGGTTAAATGTCGTGAGGGGCAGATGGCTTTCCTGAAGTCAGGCAGGAAGTGGAGGGCACAGGTGCAGAGAAGGCTAAGTGGTCACCTGTCATATTTCCTCTTTTCCAGTCCTACAGCTATGTTTTACGCCACTCTTAAGTCTTGGTCACCTATAAATTCCCAAACTCATCAAGCCTATAAATAGATTCATTACCCAATAAACCGATCCTCATCATTCATCTGTATCTTTGTGGCATCAAGATGGACAGCAGCGTGAAGCTACCGGAACGGTCCTAGGAACAGGGATTCAAAGGACCAATTTCAGATGCCTTTCGGACCCTCGGGTGGGGAGACCCCAGCTAACGCTCTTGCAGAGCAAATAGGAGTCCTGGTAGTTAGAAGGTGCAGCGCCCCACAGTTGATCAAAGAGCTACACAAAAGAGAGCCAAGTCTCTTTGCGCACCCCTGGACCCCTTTTCTTCCAGAGACAGATGACATTCTTCTACCAGGAGGACAAGAAGAGTTAACTCAGGAAACGGTTTTAATTGTATAAATAGCACTGTTTCAGAGGCTTAAGGAGGTGTGTTTAAAACGATGAGTTTACATTGGATTTGGTTAGGGATTCTGAGAAAGGGCATCAGAAATGACTTATACTACTAATAAATACTCTTTAATTAAAGTGTGACTTAAGTTCATTTTATAATAAAACACACCAATTAGCATAGCAAATCATCATGTATTAAGTACATTAATAATCAGAAATAATCACTTCTTCATCGCGTGCCTCTTAAGAATAAGAATATTGAAAAGTATTTCACCTTTCCCTTCAAGGTCTTCTTTATTCAAACTAAGGTGGCTTTTTAAGCAACGTCACAGTCATTACCTGGGGTTGGAAAAGGATGATGATTACTATGTGAATGGCCACAGTGAACTCTTCTGCCATAAAAAAGCTGGAAGTGTTTGTGGATTTTTAAATAAAATCATTTAAGAGCGACTGTGCCATTGTTATTGTCCTGTTAAGGTGGTATGAAGATGATCTTGCAGATTTGGGGATCCCATTGTCAGTGACATCAACTTTCTCATAAATACCAATGACAATTTCTTTCTTTCTTTCCTTTTTTTTTTGGTGAAGAGGCAGTGGCCTTTAAGGAGAGGGGAAACCCTGTATGTAATGTATACTGTGTAAGTTTTTGAGTGGAGGGAGCAAGAAGTGACCCTTACATGTTACGGTCACAAAGTTCCCTGTGTTTATAGGAAAACCTTAAGAATCCTGGAGCTGACAAGGCAGGAGACCTTCTAGCTTAGTTTATCTTCTTCGAGACACATCTCTGAAAGCATACATAGGATGCCAATAGAATAAATTGCTGGGAATATTACTAGTGTAGGTATTTTCAGCACTAGTTATAACAGCTTGATTTCAATTAAACAACCAAAGAACATTATCAACAAAACATTTTGGGAGAGGTGGATAAACTTTTTAAATTATCTGGTTTTCAAAAGAAAAGATTCTGATCTTGAAATGTGGGATTTGATTTTTTAGTGATCACTTTAATTATATTTCTTGAGCAGGAATGGAAGAAAAAAATGTGAACTCTTAGAAATATCACAGTATCTGCATGCATTATGTTATTTTACTGTGATGGAAACAGTCTATTTAAAGATATTGATTGTCTCGTTCTAGACTCCACAAGCCTGTTTTTGGAGATGAGGGTATTTAAATAGCATTTACCTTTAAATAGCAATAGCAATACTTTATGATTACTCTATTGGGTATTTTCTCCCAGTGGTCCTGTGTGGTTCCTCTTTTACAGATCAGAAAACTGAGTCCTAGAGCTATTAAGTGGCTTATTTAAAGTGGCATAGCAGAAAGTGCTAGTGGCTGGTGTTTTTTAGAGAGTATTTACCAAACATCCTTCTTGTAGCATTGTTTCCCCAGCCCTTATAACTTAGTCTGTGGAACTATTTTTATCACCCTTAAACCCACACATATTACATGCTGATGAAATAATAGAACTGACTCTGTTTGGGGTTGTTTGAATATCTGGTGTCTGGAACATCATAGAACTGTAGGATGAGACAGACCTGAAATATTTCTAGTCTACCTCTCCTTCCCCATCATTGTGTAGATAAAGAAATTGATGCAAGTAACTTTCTTTAAAAAGGCAGAACGGAGGAGGCCTCAGGACACTTGACTTCAGCATCATGTTCTTTAAGGTACACCAGGCAAGATCTTTCCTCGTGTTACCATTCTGTTCTCTAGAGGAGCATAATTTCCCAGTGGAGATTAAATAAAATGTTATAACAACAAGAAAAACATCCATTTTGGTTAACGGCCATGCTACCACATCCAAACAGAATAATAGGGCAAAGGAGAGGCTAATTATATTTCAAGGAAGCACAGTCCTTCACCTTTGTTAGTGATTTAGCTGAAGGCATAGGCGTGATAACAGACACTTAACTTCTGTGTGCCCCATTACACAGCACCAAGTCACTTTTAGTAGAATAGCACCTGGGATCCTCAGAAGCCAGCAGAGAGGGTGCAGAGTCTCCATTTTAGAGTTTAAGGCACTAAGATTCCTCAGGTTCAATGATTTATGTAGCAGTAGTAAGAGGCAGAGTTAGCAACAGGCAATAAGAGGCAGATCAGGGACTAGTTAGTGGTTGTTACTGGTTTATTCATTTAACAAAGATTCATTGAGTGTATTGAACACTAGGGATACAGGGGAAAATAAGAAACCTTCATTGTCCTCATTATGATTAGTAAGTTATATTCTTTTTTTGGGGGGGGACAGTCTCACCATGTTGCCCTCCATAGAGTGCTGTGGCATCACAGCTCATGGCAACCTCGAACTCTGGGGCTTAAGTGATTCTCTTGCCTCAGCCTCCCAAGTAGCTGGGACTACAGGTGCCCACCACAACACCTGGCTATTTTTTGGTTGTAGTTGCCATTGTTATTTGGCAGGCCCGGGCTGGGTTCGAACCCGCCAGCTCTGGTATATGTGGCTGGCGCCCTAGCCACTGAGCTACAGGCACCGAGCCTAGTAAGTTATATTCTAATGAATCTCGGTCCAAGGTTCTCGTCCCTACTCTATAGTGTTGACTGGCTGCAACTGTTATGCAGTCCCGTCACTGTATTTAAAAAAACACTCTGAAGATTTTGTTAGTGGTCTTTCTGACACTAGTAACTACTACTTCAACTTTCCTTGATGCACATTGACTCTCAATCGGAAGAAAGATTTGATAATTACCTTTTTTTTGATTATTGTAAGTAGTCAGCAGGCATAATTAAACCCCCAGATTTGATTTGATTTTGGTTATGATCATCAAGTGATTGCTTTAAATCCTACTGCTTTGTTGCCACATAGGCAAAGCCAACCTGATTCTCTTTATATTTATGGTTGAAAAGTGTTGTTCTGGAATATTTTTTGATGGTTGCTTAAATCTGCAGGCACTCGTCAGAATGCTCACTGAAGCAAATAGGAGATCTGTCTCAGGAAGACTGGCAGACCTCGGTGCCAGGAAACTACAAAAATATTACTCAAAACGGTCCCGTTCTAGGCAGAACATATGTTTTAGTGTTCAAGAACTTATATCAAACAATTGTAGGTGCCAGTAAGAATCCATGCACATTAGCAGGAGTGAAACACAGCACATTTTGGTACAGATTTATGTACATGTATAATTTACAGATTGCTAAATCAGCTGTGTTTTTGTATAGTGTTAAGTTGGTTCAGGTTGTTGATATAATTGGTTAGCAAACAGGATGAGAGCCAGTGGTAATGTTATGTCTCCTCCTAGATGTGTTGAGCCATGGTAATATTTATAAAACAGAAAACTGGTTAAAATCCATTGTGGCTCTGAAAGGGGAATGGACAATAGTCTGGATTATTACCAGCTCAAGAGAGCTTGCTTTTTCTTGCAATAGGTTCTAAGATAACCTTCAGTCAAGGCTCAGCTGTCTTTCTTGGAGAATGTCAAAAAGTTAAGTCTATTGATTTGACGTTAGCTGGAAGATTGAGAAAATGAAATCTTGTGATTTAACATTAAGGCAATAAAGCTTCTGAATGCTGTGATTTTTACAAAATCATTCTATTTTAATAATCTATCTTAATAGAATGGATGCATTTGAGGAACACTGTGGGTAAATTGCACCCTTGGCTTCATTCTTTCTGACACCAGCTCTTCCTTTATGGTTGGACTTCATTTGGCAGTAGGTCCTTGGAGCTCTTCAATCCTTTCCTTCACTTCATTTTTGGTTGGTTAATAGCCTGTAAACAAACATTTAAAATCTATTTTAGTTATTTATCCAAAGGAATCCTTTTCATGGAATGAGTATCTGCTTTATACATGTAGGATACTTGAGCCATCAGTTTTTTGGTTTGTTTTTGTTTCTCTCCCTCAGTGGCCACACCTATACCTGGTGAGAAAGAGAAATGACAGA